CACGCATCAGGCTCGAAAAGGCACCCAGCAGGCAAGCTTGTTGGGTCGATGCACAATTTACCTAGTATCTATATACTAGTACGAGATGGCGCTAAAGTGGCTACATCGGGTTTGGTAATGAACGGCTGAGAGTAGTACTTGAACAATTCGGATTGTTCCCAGTGTATTCTGTCTACACCTACAACACGACGCCATCACTACGCCACGGCTGCAGTCGCGCAACAGCCGGCACTCCATACAGAAGCGAGTCCCTCTTGTTTGCGGTGTGAAAGACCGCACCATCATCGTCTCGTCCATCCAGGTGGTGGCGGCTAGCATTGCACACACCAGCAAAAGAAGCAGAGCACAAACTCTGGTTCGGAGGGCGAGGCTTCTCGTTGATGTTGCTGCTCCATTCGTCGTGCAAGGTTATCGCGCCACGTTGAAGCCAAAGTGCACTTTGCAGTACTCATCTGTGCGAATTCCAGGATTGCGACGCTGTGATTGGCTCATACCATTGGCATCTCAGCTTTACGATCCACACGAGGCCCGCCGCGCTTCTTCGCCGGACGTTCGCTCGCTTTTTTATAAATCGGAATGTTAAACTTACGCTATCGTGGATGACAATTACAAATGGCTGCCCTCCTTGGTCAAGCGCAAGTGCTGCAGTTGGCAGAGCACCGCAGCATAGTGCCGCATAAAGAACGTCCGCTGGTCGAAATGACCCTTGGTCAGCTTGGCAGTGAGCTGCGCACAAAGCTCCTTGTCAGTTGCCGCATCGACATTGTAGACGGCAGCGAGGTCGCGCAAAGCCACGTCGCCTTGGGATGTGAACGGGTGCCGGATCGTGTAGAACGTCCTGCACCGTGTCATGGACGGTCCAACGCGGTCAGCCACGATCCTAGTCGACTAGCTTCCACCTCTGTCGTTTAAAGCACCGGAGGGTCGTACCACTGCTTGGTGTCGATCGTCCATTGGCGTCCGTCATCAATGTCTTCCCTTGGGCGGTCGGCCTCGTCGTGCAAAATCGTTCGCAGAGCAATCGTCATCCGATCGGGCTCCCGGAACCGGCCGCTAAGGACGTTGTAGCGGACGACGCGCTGGCCCGGGTACGGAATCTCTTCTGGGAGGTACTGGATGTCTTGGCGCTGTGTTTGTGAAAAGGCGTCGACGTCGAGGGGCCCGGCCAAACTCTGGTCGCGGTACGCGCGAGCAAACGTCTTTTCGGCGACCCAGTACCCGGCGGCGACGTCGTCAAGGTCAAATGGCATCAACTCTTGCGTCATGACTTGAATGCAAAGGAGCGGGCATGCCATGTCGTCGCCAAAGGATACGTGCACGTCGAGGCAGTGGCTGGCGTCGGTGGGAAAAGCCACGTGGGCAAGCGCTCTGTCCGTGTTGTGGTAGCCCTGCCGTAGAATCCACTCGTACGCCACTTGGCGCGACGCGTCGTCGCCAGCGAGCAGCTGCGAGTGGCGCCACGTCTCCTCGACAAGGCTCGGTACACGCTAGTGAAGCATATGCGCATGTGAGAAGGCGAGGCGGGCATACCTCGTTGGGCCGCACGACGCGTGCCATCCAGTCTTGGAGCGTCGCAAGCAGCGTCTTGGCATGGGCCACTTGGCGCTTCAGCGATCGGTTTTCACGCACTTGCTCGAGCGTGTCGTCCTGGAGCGCCTTGGCCACGTCGTGCCACGACAGCGTCGCGATGTGCCCCGACCGCTTTGGGATCGCTTCGAGCTCCTGCGTCAGATCGTAGATGTAGTTGCGCAGCGACTGCATCTGCCGCGCACGCTTGGACCGAATGTGCGCCAGGCGCGGGTCCTTCGATGGCCGCAGGCGTGGCGGCGCGCCCTTCGGCTTGGCGATGGCGTCAAGCATGCTGCGCTGCAGTGTGCAATGCGTATGTGTCACAAAGGTCGGAATTGCGGTCAAATGGGTTTAAAATACCGGAATTTCAATGTCAATTTTGCAATTTTAATATAAAATCGCGCGTTGGCCAAGTGGAATCGTTGGAACGCTCTGAAATCTCTTGGGTTTTGTATTCAATAGAATTCGGAAATATTTCAGCATCGTGCCCGATATTCCGGCATTTTTGACTGATACGCTCATGGCTCGGAACAGGGGCAACTCCCTCAAAACCCCGTGGCGCCGTCCCGTGCGTCTTGGGATCGTACCACTCCTTGGGGACGAGTACTGGATTCGGATATGCGCTTTGGTGCTCCTTGCCAGCCACCAGAACCAGAAGACGCTGCATTCATCGAGTAGACTGAGTCTACCAAGTAAAACTGTAGCCGGCTTCATCCATCTGACATCTGGTTGGGATGGGGGCCATCGTACCAGCAACGTCGGCTGCCAGCATCGCCGTGGAGACGGCGCCGCGCAAGGAGGTAGCCGACGCGATGCGGTGGCGGCTGCTGTTGCCCGGCGACAGGCTACCACCCGCGTCCCTTCAATTCACGTATCTGATCGGCTCGGTGCTTTGCGAGGTGGCTCGACAGGCGACGACGGTACCACCGGGCACCGGGTGGTCACTCTGTTTCCTTCTGGGTTGCACCCACGTTGCCTTGGCCGTGATCACGGTGGAGTCAGTTGGCTCTAATCACTCGGCTCTGAGTCCTTCCCGCTCGACAGCTCAACTCGTGGCGTTGGTTGAGCAGTAAAACATGCATTCTATTCATTTTCTACAGTGGCTAGAGCGGTGAGGCGACCGATGACCGACGTTCCACAGTCGGCGCGATCGACGCCAAGATCTCTTCGAACCGTCGCTTGAAGAAGACGCGCTGGTTGACATGCGACTGCTCATATCGCGCTTGCACACCGGCGGCAATGACCTTGGGGTCGTCGCTCAGAATGTTGTAGCAGGCGGCGAGCTCATTGAGCGAGACGTACCCGCCACCTTCGGTGAACGGGTGGTCGATCGTATAGAACGTCCGGCACCGAGTAGTCGTGGGTCCGATGCGGTCTGCGACCCACCACTGCTTGGTGTTGAGCACCCACGTGTTGCGCTCCAGCGGAAACAGCTCGTCTTTCAAGACCGTGCGCAGCGCTACAACCGTGCGGTTCGACTCGCAAAACCGACCGCGCACGACGTTGTAGCGCGTCGTGTGGTGGTGCGAGCTCGAATCTTCCTGCACGAGCTGCACGTCAGAGGCGTCCGAGGGCACGAACAGATCCTGGATCGCGCCTTGGCGGCGGTACGCCTTGACGAACGACCGCTCCGTGCGCTCGAGCGCGTCGGTCACGACCTCGAGCGGGTACTCGAAAATGTCTTGCGCCGTCGCGTTCATGCAAAAGTGCTGCGACTCGTCCCAGGTCACATGCACGTCCATGGAGCTCGTGAGCGTGTGCGGGTACGCGATGTGGGCCATCGCACGCATCGTGTTGTGGTAGACCTGCTGAAGGATCCATGCCGACCCGATGCGGCGACAGGCGGCGTCGCCCGCCATGAGCTGGCCATGTCGCCACGTCTCTTCAATTTGGCTCGGTGGCCGCTACAAGTGCAATGTGAAACGGCCATCTCGTAGAAAGAACGGTACCGTGGGCGGGTGCAGGCTATGGATCCAGCTCTGGAGGACAGTCGAGAGGTGGGCGTAGGCGTCGACTTGGCGCTTGAGCGACCGGTTCTCGCGCACTTGGCCCAGCGTGTCGTCCTTGAGCGCGATCACAACGTCTTCCCACGGCAGCATTGTGAGATGGCCGCGCTTGAGGCGCGCGACCTCGGTCTCCAAGTCGTACACATGGTGGAGGAGCGACTGCAGCTGCTTGGTGCGCTTGGACTTTATGTGTGCAAGGCGTGGGTCCTGCGATGGCTTGATGCGGTCGAGCGGCGAGTGCTGCTCGTGCAGCTTGCGCTTCTTGGTCGAGACGGGCGTCGGCGCCGCACTCGCGACGTGAAGCACCATGCCAAAGCAAAAATAAAGGGTGTCAACCTTGCGAAAACCAGCTGCGACGCCAGCCATTGGCCAACAGTTCGGATAGCTGTGGGACTCCTCCTGCGGACCGCGTTCCAAACTACGTACCAGTCGGTGCCCCGGCCCGGCGCACCGTCGTCATCATTGTCGTCGTCGTGTCTGCGTTCTTGCCAGTTGGCTGCATGACACGCCGACCGCACCGCAGCATCTCGGGTGCGAAATGGCCGATTTTGGGCGACCGCCCGGCCGCGGCTCCACCACGCGTCGCACCTTACTGTACGACCGGTAGATAAAGATGGAGGCGGTGTCGATGTACCGGAAACGAGGACGGCGATGCCTGTCCCGACAGGCACAGTAACGAGCGAGGCAAATGCACAACACACGATTACGTCAACCACTGACCGAGTGTGCCATGTGGGCACCGCGAAAGTTTGCGCTCGTCAGCGGTCTCTGATTTTCAGAGGCAGTGCAACAGCAATGGAGTCGTGGACGGTTCTGCGACTGGTGATAATTTGGGGACGTAGCCGGGGCAGGCACCGTGAGTGGCACCGTGTAGGATTCATCGCCCTGCTCACACATGGATGAACAAAAATGATTGTGAGCTGTGTAGTCGTATCCATGTTAGTTTACAATCACGCCACGACTAGAATTTGCTGACTAAAACCAAGGCTAAAACCGTCCAATACACCATTACACCGACAGACGACGAGCCGACGACGCCACTTGCATCTCGCAAAGCGCTCCTGGACTCGGTGCCTTCATTTTTTGCCGCGCCTTGCGTTGACAGAGATACGCAGGTACCCTCGTATCTTGCACTGAGATGCAGATCGAGTACGAGTACAGTGTAAGTGGCTGCTGGCCTCCACGACGTCGATACTCTCGTGCGTGTTCGAGCGACCGTCGCGCTCGTCGTCGCCGTGTTTCCCAGACACGATGACTCGCACATGCATCGCGCACAGTCGGGCGTTCTTCGACCGCAGAAAAAAAGGTGACGCGCGTGGATTCAGACGAAGAAGTAGCCACGTAGTTGGAGCATTTCGTCCTCTGTAGACAGCAACGAAACGGTCGCCATGGGTGGATAACTCATTCGCATCTTCGTACATATCTTCGTCGACGACGTCTGGTGACCCAGCTGCTCGGTGAGCGCAGACCAGCATCGACGGTTCTCGACGTGACGACGACCGCCGCGATCACACCTCTATCGTCGGTCATTCCAATGACAGAGATGGATCGGTAGCTATGCCGTCCGTGCTGCACGACCTCTGTAACGTTAGTGCTAGTTGTGTTGGCACAAGTTGGCGGGTGTCCCAAGTACCATCGATGCGACGAGCGATTCAATAGTGCGAGCTTGATCACGCTCGCGTCAGCACTGTTTCACAATTCAATGACAAACTTCGACAAAGCGATAGACTAGGTATCGTGGGCGACGCGGCGCAGCGTTGCATCCAAGTGCGCTCGAAAGAACGCGCGCTGGTTGAGCTGGAACCGGCGGTTCGCCTCGCAGAGTCGGTGGAGGCCATCCGGTTGGCGCAAATCAACGTTGAAGCGCGCGCCAAGCCGCTGGAGGGGCACGCGCGTCGCGCCGCGCCAGAGCGAGTCGGCAAAGTAGTACGTCCGGCACCGCGTCGTCGTAGCATCGAGGGCGTCCAGGACGGTCCTACGCAGCTACGTCAACATGTTTGTCCTTTGCATGGTCCGTGTACCATTGGAGCACGGGAGAGCGCCACGTGCGCGGGGCTATTGGGTACGCGTCGTCGTGGCTGATGGTTCGCAGTACGAGGATCGTCCGGGTCGCGCTGGCATTGACGCGCCCCAGAAGCACCGTGTTGGCGATGACCGCATCCCGCGAGAGCGCCATCGCTTCGTGGGTGTAGGAGACGTCGTGCCCGCGAACGCAGAGGTCGCGCGAAGCGTGGCTTCGGGCGTTGTCGGCAGTGCGAAAGACTGCCGTGAACGACCGCTCGGCCTCAAAGACACCGGCGGTCGCAGTCGGTAGTGCGTACGGCAGCAGCATCTGCGTCGTGACGTGGAGCGCAAAGGCATTCGTGTCGCTCGTGGTGTCGCCAAGCGAATAGCCAATGTCGACGTGCTCGGCTCTTGGATCGAGTGGGTAGAATTGCTGGTCCATGACAGCAAACGTCTGCGCGTACTGCTGGCGAATGAGCCACGCAAATGCCATCTCGCGCGACGCTGTTGAGCCGCGAAGGAGATAGGACGCTGCATAAGGCTAGCCACGAGAAGGGTGAGACCAAGACCTCGATTGATATGGTCGTACATCGTCGGACGCCGTGCGGAGGTTGCGGTGCACCCACGTGTGCATGTGCGCGAGGAGCTGGCGCTGGTCCTCAAGGCGCTGCTTGAGCGTCCGGTGATCCGTGACAAGCGATAGAAAGTCGTCCTTGAGCGCGAGGGCCACGTCTTCCCAGGGCAGCTGTGTCGTTTGGCCGCGCCGCAGCGCCCGCAGTGTACACTCGAGGTCGTAGACTTGGCGCTGGAGCTCGCGAATGGCCCGCTTGCGCTCGACCGACATGGGTGCGACCGATGGTAATCACTTGTGTGCTTCGCATCCAATACGCACGTGTTGACGTGCCCGATGACGCCTCGCGACTGAGACGAGGCAAGTCCCACCACGCGTAAAGACAGAGTCGTCGGACGGGCATCGAAGCACCAGTCGTCACGCGCTTTGCGTTGCAGGACCAGGTCGTGACGGAGGCTCATGTCAACACCCCATGGCCCGACGTATCCCACTAACGTTAGGAACCAACCGTGTTCATCTCATCAACCAGCCTGCACCAATCGTCGTCGTCGCGCGGTGGACGGCACTCTCGCGCTGTGCAATGCGAGCGAACCGGGTGCGATAGTCCAACGCAAGTGCGGTGCCGCCAACAGACATGCCGCCGCCATGCTGACCCACGGTGACAGCGCGGCAGGACGCGGCACAACGCATGGGCTAGCCACAGTGCGTCACTGGTCACGGCGCACCGTTGTCGTGAGGCCGTGCGGCGGCACGCCGACGCGCAGGGTGGGTACTGTCGCTTTGCTCCACCGCGGTGCCAGTTGTCGCGTCAAAGAGCAGGGCCGTCAATCCACCGCAGCAGCGTCGCCTAGTACCGTACAGTACCCTCTGTTGAGCTCACGCTGTGTGACCCCCGTTGGGCTGTAGTTGGGACAACTGGTCCACGCATCGATCCTCGCCACCCGCAATACAAAACACCATCGTACAAGCGCGAGTGAACATTGGTGGCATAAGTTTACGCTGTGGCAAGACGCAGCGACGGGTTGCGTGGGGTCGTCCATAACGATCGAAGGTTCGATCCTTGCAAAGCGTCGACATTTCCATGCTATTATTGAATTTAGGAGTTTGCAAACGACGACGACCTCCTCAAAGTGGCCAGAACGCGGTGAACGTGGTCCCGGAAAAAGGCGCGTTGGTGCGTGTGCAGCTCGTGGAAGAAGTGTCGGAGGCCAGTGATGCGCGCGGCGTCGGTCTCGGCCGGCGGCACGTTGCAGCAGGCCGCGAGTGCTTCAAGCGAGACGTAGCCCTCGGCTGTGCACGGGTGGTGCATCGTATAGTACGTTCGACAGCGCGTGCCCATCGGCGTCGCTACCAGAAGGACCCTACCCTCCAATAAGTACACAGGTTGTCCAGTCGAAAAGCGACTACCATTGCGACGACTCGACCGACCACGCAGTGGCCGCGACGGGAAATGCGTCGTCTTGCAGGATCGAGCGCGCCACCACAATGCTGTGGCCGTCGCCGACGTTGTCGAATCGGCCAAAGAGGTAGTTCATCTTGAGCTCTTGGTCGTTGCTGCCGGCCTCTTCTTGCTGGTATCGCACCCAGTCCCGCGCGCGCACGGGCAGCGCCAAGCGCGACGGCTGCCGCTGCCGGAGCTGCCGGTACACGTCGTTGAAGGTTTCTTCCGCATACCAAATGCTGTCGGTTGTATCGAGGAGCGACGCGCGCACGAAGAATTCGTGGGCGACATGCGTCGTAAAGACTCCGTCGTCGCTCACGCGCACGTCAACGTCGAGGTACTCGAGGTCACCACCGCTTCGGGACGGGAACGGCCGCTGCTGCATGGCGCGGTCTGTGTTGAAGCGGAGCTGGTTGAGGATCCACGCGTACGCTGTCTCGCGCGCCGTAGCGTCGCCCGCCCCGAGGTGCGAGTGGCGCCACGTCTCCCGAAAGTCGAGGCTCTACCAAAGTTCATGATAGCGATAGCGCGACCATTGAGCGTACTACCTTGGGCGGGCGTAGCGTGAGCACGAGCGACTGCAAGTAGGTTGTGAGCGCTTCCACGTGGCGGAGCTCCTTCTTGAGGCGGCGGTTCTCCGCGACCCCCTGCAGCATGTCGTCCTGGAGCGCCCCAGCGACGTCCGCCCACGGCAGCGGCGCAATGCGGGCCCGACCCAGACGAACCCGCGTCGACTCGAGCGCATGGATGTGGGCGCGCAGCGCGAGGACGACCTGGGACCGGCGCCGCTTGACGCGCTTGGTCGGTGCTCGGGTCGACATGTTCAATAAGAGCTGGTTGTGCGACATGTGGTAGGGCCCACCCTGGGGTCCCACCCCAGCCCATGGGCCCCTTTGTCCCAAAAACCCAATCGGCCAGATCCACTCAAAATTTGGCTCGTCTTCAACGAGCGGCAAGTGTTGGCGCGCGGTCGTAAGAGGTTGTCGTGACGCTGCCAGCGTGATCACGAGACACACCATGGGCTATACTCAGTCGTGGGCTACAGTACCCTAAGTGCAGTTGCCTCTCGCGTCCTACTTAGAGTAAACAGGAATAGTCGGCACCTCTCCCGGCTATATAGCGCTGGAGACAGCGTCCCTCTCACCCCGAAGGAGTCGAGTATGGTAGACACTCGTTGTCAGCGACCGAGTCAGACACTCTACCAAGTGGACTGACCGAAGGGACTGTCGCCGCAAAAATTACTCTACGCTCCAAACGGCGTGCACGGCGCTCGTCGTCGTTGAGAGGTGACGCCAACGGTGTCGGTATCAGCACACAACAGATACTGTACACAAATGCCAATGTTCGTGGGGTGAGGTTTAAGTTAATGGCCGCTCGTAGCCCTGGCGGCAGTACACGCGATCGCATTCACAAGGTGCGTCATGAAGAACGCGCGCTGCGTCGTGTGGAGGTTCCGCAGTCGGGTCGTGATTTGCGCCTTGACCGTGTCCGCGTTCGGGTTCAATGGGATGAGCGAGCAGGTCGCATAGTCGGCCAGCGAGACGTACCCGCTCGCGGTGCTCGGGTGGTCGACCGTGTAGTACGTGCGCACGCGCGTCGTGTGGTCGTTTAGGCGCTCGGCGACGACCCACTGCTTCGTGTCGACGTTCCACGTGCTCGCACCTTGGCTCGGGTACACGTCGTCGTGCAGCACCGTGCGCAGCACCATCGTCGTGCGCTCTTCGTTGTCGTGGAAGCGGCCCATGAGCACGTTATCGCTGATCTTTTGGTCGGTGCTACCGAGATCTTCGCGTATATAGAGCACGTCGGCGTCCGCGGCCAAGTACTTGCACGCGCCCTTATTGTGAAAGTCGCGGTTGGCGGCAAACGCCTGTGTGAACGTCTGCTCTGCTGCCCAGTAGCCGCGCGCGACATCGGGTAGCGCGTACGGCAGGATCATTTGGGTGGCGACGCCGACGCTGAAGCGGTCGTCGTCGTCGCAATGCACCGCCACGTCAATGAACGGCGCGGGATCGTTGATCGGGTAGACAGCGTTGGCCATTGCGGCCGGCGTGTGGTAGTATACTTGGTGGAGCACCCAGTCGTAGGCGGCTTGACGGAACGTCTCGTCGCCCGCGAGCAAGTGCGAGTGGCGCCAGTTCTCGCGCGCGCCGAGCGTCCGCGTTGGCTGCCACGACTGGACCCACTGCTGGAGCAGCGGCAGGAGCCGCTTATTGCGCGCGATGGCCTGCTTGAGCGACCGGTTGTCGCGGACCTTGTCGAGCATGTCGTCTTTGAGCGCTTGTGCGACGTCTTCCCATGGCAGCTGTGTCGATGCACGCGTGCGCTTCTGGCGCAGGACTTGCTCCAGCGCATACGCGTCGTGGCGCAGCTTATTGACGAGCTCGGACGTCTTGAGCCGCTTCCGGGGCTGCATGGTTCAAAAGTGCAAATTGGCAGGGAGTAATCCGGATGCATTCGTTTTCAGAGGTTTGCAACAAGCTGACGCTACATGACCACTCTGCACGACCACTCCAGTACGCCGGCCAGTACGCTTACCCTCGTAGGTATGATAGACAATAATGGCAATTGCCTGTGCAAAGACCACACGACACCCGCAACAACATTGATGGATGTAGCGACCTCGTGTCGTGAACGTTGTCGCCGTCGCCATCTCTGCAAACTGCCGACGCAGCGTCGTAGTGGGACGTCGCGCGAGGCGGCTGGAAACATCATCCAATAATACGAAGATCACGGGCCGAGGCGCACGGTTGACTAGATCCGGACGCTGGAAGGGACAACGAATGCAGTCTGTGTGGCGTGATCAGCTCGCACGCGGATACGAAGACAGTAGACTGCTCGCATCGCGGTGCTTTGGTTTGTCTATCGACTGGATGCGAGTAACTTGGCTACGTGCAGGCTATTGTAGTCGCTGATGAGCGCATGCAGCGGCTTGTTCAACTCCACGTGATATTAAGTTTGAGAGGTTTGCTAGTTACGTCGACGCGCGAGGACGCGGCGCAAATGGGCCTCGAAACGGCGGCGCTGGTCGCGTTGCTGGCTCGTAAATTTGACTTGTAGCTGGCGCGCAGCGTCGTCGTCCGAGGTAGAATGAACTTTAACGCACTGGGCAAACGCCTGAATCGGCACAAACCCTGCGCGCGTGCACGGGTGCAGCAGCCGGTAGTAGGTCCGCAACCGCGTCCACGTGGCGTCCACACGTTGGGCGACGACCCTAGCCGCAAACGACCGTTCGATTATACGATTCAACAACTAAAGAGCGCACCACTGGCGTGTGTCGACGGTCCACGCGTCGTCACGGATAGGGTACGCCGCATCGTGCAAGACCGAGCGCATGACAATCACAACCTTGTCGTTGCCTTCGTAAAACCGTCCGTAGAGCGTCCGATCCAATATGGTTTGGTCCGCGGGGCCCATGTCTTCTTGCGCGTACGCGAGGTCGGGCGTCGTGTCCAGCGACTCAAAGTGCGTGTCGACGCCGTGGTCGACCTGCACAAACGACGCGTCTGCGAGCCAAACGCCGTGCGAGACTTCGTCCAGCGAGTAGGGCAGCAGGAGCTGCGTCATGCCGTGGATCTCGAGCACATACGACGGCGTCACGACCACCTCAATCTCGACCACGCCCGTGTTCGTAGCAGGAAAGGTAAACCGGTGCATCTCGCGCGCTGTGTGGGCGTACACTTGGTGAATGATCCATTGGCAGCCAATGCGCCGAGCGCGCTCGTCGCCGGCAAACAGCGTTGCGTCCCGCCACGACTCGGCAAACGCATTCAGTGGTGTCTACGAAAAAGTGCCAACGCTATGTCGATGGCGAATGAACGCTGTACGTGGAGTTGCCAGCTGTTGACCCATGCCGCGAGCGCCTTGCAGATGCGGTCGTTGGCTTGAAGCTGCCGGCGCAGTGCAGTGGTTTCGTTGCGCTGGTCCGCGACAGCGTCGGCGAGCGCGGTGGCCACCTCGGCCCACGGCAGCAACGAGGTGGGCCGGCGGCCATGGTGCGTAGCGAGGCGCTGCTCGAGGTCGGCAACAAATCGCCGAAGCGCGCGGACTTCGCGCACGCGCTTGCACTTGATATGACTCTCGTCGCCCGGTCGCGGCGCAAGGTACGGCCGGCGGTGCGGGCAGTCCATCGCAGTGTGTTTTCAGACGCGACACCGTTTTGGGACAAAATGAGGTCCATGGATTCCTCTTTTTGTCACGATAACGCAGGCAACTGGTTGCACTTTGGCACAGCGCGTAATGGTAGACTCCACTTGTGCACAAACTGTCGATGGCCACACGACAAGGCGCTCGGGGATTGTACCGGCATGCAAGGACGTTCGGTTGATCTATAACCTGCGCGCTAACCGAGCTCGCGTTCCGCCCACTGGACACGATCGTTTGTATCCAGCAGCACCGACGCGACACTCGTTGGAAATACCTGGCTGCCCGCGACGACACGGCAGCGTATTTGACTCAACATTTCCGTGCGCTGCGTTCTGGCATTGATTGATTGATGGCTAGTGGCTTCGAGGATGACGCAAGCACGAACTGCACGCATTTATGAAGCGCAGCCCGAGCAATCCGAGAACTTTGCAGCTCAACTCGAGACACGAGCAGAATCGAGTTCAACAAAATAGCGTTAGTTGAAATATTTCACCACTTGGGATGCGAGGACGACACCACGAGCAAAGAAGTTGAGCATAAAAACACACTTTCCTGGAGCACTTCGAGCTTTGGAGCGAGTGGGTAGGACGGTTGTGAGTCGATCGCAAGTACTGGTACCCTGGCTAATACCAAAGCGTGCGAAGCGCTCGTCAACTAATCGTTGGTTTTATGAACCTGCGCTAAATGGAGCCGCGACTGTAACTCACTCGCTACAGCCATCATGGCCGAGCCGCAGCCGGCACCACTCGTGTGTCCTTTCTACAACTCTACCTACTTCCTACCGCGTCGTTGAGAGACTCGATGTCGCATGAGATGCATCGCGCTTGTGACGACAAACCGTGTGCGCTAGCGCTGCTCTTCGCGGTTTGGCCAAGATCGTCCGACGTCGTTTCCAAACGAGCCAATCACAAGCGCGTATGGTCCGTCCAGCTGGTTTCGGATGCACCGGTCGCTGGCTCTCAGTCTCCAAATCTCAGAATCACGCGCGCATGCTCTCGACCATCTCGCAGCTGCACGCGGCGCAGGCGTGGCGCGAGGGCTACACGGACGAGACGATCGACCACGTCAAGTCCAAGCGCGTCCACGAGCTTCATCAACTCAAGCGCTACATCCACGAGCTCGAGGCAACCGTCGTCCGCATCAAGCGCCAAAAGACGTCGGTGCTGCCATGGGAAGACGTCGCCAAGGCACTCGCCGACGACACGCTCGACCGTGTCCAGTGCAACATGCGGCTTCGTGGCGAGTGTGACTACAACCGGCGCGTGTGCCAATTTCTGAAAGATTGGGTCGACTCGATGGTTCCGCCGCCGGTGCGTCGTGTCACTGCACAAGTCTTTACAACAGCCAAATCTTCTGTAGCTCACGCCGGGGCTAACCAAAGATACGTGGCGCCACGCGACCATCTTTGCCGGTGACGTTGCGACGCGCCAAGTTGGCTATACGTGGTTGACGCGCCAGGTGTACGCCAACACGGACCGCGCGTTGGCCCGGCTAACGTTCCCAGAAGACGCGCCGGATGCGCTGCATGTCGACGTTGACCACCGCGACGTCGACGATACAATTCACATTGAGATCCACCAGCAAACCATTTGGCCCTTTGCGTACGATGATGTCGTGGCAGCGTGTGCTATCGCCAACAAGACATTTGTTCAAACAGTACAAGCGCGCAGCGATTGCGTCGAGGCGCTGACGCCGGTCGATGACGACATTACGTACGTCCAAGAAGAGATGGGTCATCCAGATCGGCAAGCGATCTTTGGTAACGTCCTCTACGGCACGTTTGCAGCCAACGCACGGCGCGCGATCATGGTCAAACGCTCGATTATCAAAGATGAAGCCCACCCGATTGCAAGCTCGGTCTGGACCCTCGACTCGAAAGGCTGGTACGTCACGGAAATACAAAAAAAAGAATCAAAAAGCGTGGTAGGCTCGTCGTCGAACCCCTGCCCGATGGACGCAGCCGCGTGCGCATGCTCGATGTCGTGGGCCACCCATGCTCGGCCCGCGGGTTTGTGCCGATTCTAGACCTTGCAGCCATGCTGCAGTTGAGGCCGCGCAACGTGGACGATGCCGTGCGTCTCATGCGCCAACGCTTTGTCATGGGCCAGGCCCACCAAGCCAAGCAGTTCAAGAACCTTGTCCAGACGCTGCTCGTGGAGCGGCTACGCCAACGACCAGATTCGGCCGAGCATATTATTTAATAGAGTCGTTGGGATGAACATGATGATAGGCTATTCTCGTAGATTTCTAGTCGTCGTAGATTCCTAGTGTACACTTACACTTATACGTGCGTTCAATATTCGCGGCCTGTCTACGCAAAAGGCAATCGAACCATTTGAAATCTCAGCCCTGGTTCGACTACAACTTGTGTTTGCACTTTGGCTTTGCACGGGCGCTAGCCACTCGTTCGTAACGAGTTTGGTGAGTCGGACGACCCCTCGCGTGATGATCAACCGACTTCGATTTGGTTGCCACAGTGGCCAGCACCACATCGAGTTCGCAGCGGCGTCAGTCAAGGCAATATGTTAGCAGTTTGCTGCACGTACACTCGCAAAGCGGATTTGCAAACTCTTTTATCTGGGACGAGTGAACTCAGCTTCCAATCGGGATCGCCCAGATCCTAAATTTTATCTCTCAAGTGCAATGTAACAGAGCTGGTCCAACGGCGTTTTCTCGATGGCTCTTGACACTGCAGCAGCCAACTGTGTCGCGACGCAAGACGCCATCGACCATGACGAGCGCCAAGGCGAAAATCCGCCAAGAGCTCTCTGCGTACGAAGAAGCCGTGGAGATGCTTCGCCAATCGACAAACTACATTTACCAGAGCGCGCTCGCGTGGCACTTGCAGCCGCAGCTCGCCCTCGACGGCGTCAACGGCGCTCTCTCGTGGCCAATGGCGCCCCGCCAAAGCCAGCAGCTTGCAGAACGGTACGCGCACCACTGCATCCTTCCAGCAACGTGCGTTCGCATCATCAACAAGGCCGCTTGGACATTGCTTCTCCACACGAGCTTGTTGCCTGCTGTTCAGAAGGCACTTGGTGTCACCCGCATCCAAGTCGGGGCTATCTACTCCCATCTTTGCGTCGATGCGCACGGGTCGTCGGCGAGTCTGACACCGCGATCGAACATTGCCAAGGCATTTGGGACGCTCCTCGTCACGCTGCCGGCATCGGAAGAAGGCGGCGAGATCACGGTTGCTCGTGGCGGGCACTCGGCAACACAGTGCCCATCGCCATTGACGGCCCAAGTCTTGGCCACGTTCTTGGATGCACGAATCACGTCGGCGCCTATCTCGTCAGGTCGTCGTACTGTGCTCGTCTACGCGCTGGTGGCTGTCGATGGCGGTAGCGTCGATGTGCCGCCAACCCGCGACGCCGCCCTCGCTGCCTGGACGGCGATCGCCGAGCGCCCGCCGCTCAGAATGCAGCGCATTGGCATGCGCATCAAGAACTGCAAGCAGTGCTGCCTATCTTTTTCGGACCTTGTGCCACAGGACGCTACGCTAGTCGACGCGCTCTTGGCGACGGGCCGCTTTGACGTGGCGCTTGTCCAGCTCAAGACACGCGTCTTTTCCTTTGGCGACGAAAACGTCGGCGAGGAGGGGCATACCATTGGAACAGCCTCGCTGCACCCTGCGTGCTCGATGCCCTGTGACGTCGCCGTCACAGGCCATTCGATCGACGCCTTTGTCGGCGCCCAATGGCGTGGGGTCATTTGTTGCGCTCTAGTGTTTTGGCCCACGTCGCTTCGCACGAGCTTTGTGGGCCTCGACCGCGCGCTGCGTCTCGCACACGGCGCGATCACCGAGACAAGTGAAGGCACTGGTCGCCTTGGCCTGAGCGTACGTGACGTTGTTTGCGGTACCGTGGCCACCTTTGCAAGGACGAGCCCACCGTCTTGTACGATGAGCGTGGCGCACCTTGTCATTCAGAGCCGTGACGTCAACCTCATGGACCGCTTTCTTCGCGACGTGATGCCGGTGACCATGACGCTGGTCGGCATGGCCACCAACGTCCATGCGAGCTTGCGCGCGTTCGGCTGGACGGCAATCTTTCCTGCGCTCGAAGCCTTTTTGAAGCGCTGGCTGACGGCACGGGAAGCGAGCGACGTGAGTCGTCTCATTACGAGTCTGGCGGGCATCTTCACTGGTGGTACCGCGCTGTGCCCGCCGCTGCGACAGCCGTTTGTGGCCGAGTTTGTCAAAATGTGCTGGCAGCATTTGCTCTCGACGGCTACCCCGCCCATGCAGCACTGGATCCTCGTGGACGCGTACTTCAGAGACGAGGCGCCGCAGCTCGTGCACAACCATTGGCTCGACACGCGGCTTCCGCCCGTGCTGATTGGCAAGGTCGATGGCTTTCTGTACGGACGCTCCTTTGCATCGGCGCTTGCACGCAAGCACATGTCCGCGTCCCAGCAACTCCAACACCTGCCCAGTGGACTCGCCCAGGCGATTGCATGCCACCCGACGCTTCCCCGGCAACGGTACCTTGACGTGCTGGCGACCTCTATCGACCAACTCTTGCGCACACGCGCCGTACGGGAGAACCTACAAGCTATGCCGGCGTCGTCCAGTGATATTGGCCACATTGTGGGTGCTATGCACTTTCTGGGCTGCGTCAATGCGGCACTGCTGACTGCGTGTCAAGTGATGAGCAGCCCCGAGCGCGTCGTTGCTGGTCTTTTGCTGTTTCTACAGCTGTCAGTGCCACCCGTGCCACCCTCGGTTCAGTCGACCATTGCGGACTTTGTCAAGTCGGCGACACCGACGTTCACATATACCGATCACACGCAGCACTCGGTTGTCCTCAGTAGCATCGTCGACGTGATCGAGGTGCTCACGCTTACCACGCCTCGCGAGGCGCTGCCGTTTGTGACTTCTTGGCGGGCAGCACTGCCAGCGACATTGGACGCGACCCGCTCGTGCCTCTACCCCGTCATCGAGATGCTCTACCGCCGGTTTCAAAGCAAGGACCTCGACCTTGTCGTGCACCTGGCGGGTCCGTGCTTGGCAGCGTTGCTACAAGGCGGCGCGCTAACCCCGGTGCCCGTCTTGAACGATTTTGTCTTGACGGCCATTGACGTTGACGCGGACCACTGTGACGAGTGTGCCGCGTTTGATGATTTTCTGCTCGATGGACACTGCATTGAGTTTCGGTGCGCGAACGACGGCCCGTGCGAAGCACTCGACGA